CAATATTCCTTCTCATCACCCGCCTCCTGCACCTCGTCCCCCTCCTGCTCTTCATCCCCCTCCTGCTCCTCCTCCTCCTCCTCCTCCTCCTCCTCCTCTTCCTCTTCCTCCTCCTCCTCCTCCTCCTCCTCCTCCTCGTGATGAGTTGTTGAAAAGCTGAAGGCGCCAAGCATCGTCGGATTCCGCCCTCCCCTCCCCCCCTCCTCTACCACTTCCTCCTCCTCCTCCACGTCCTCCTCCTCCTCCTCCCCCTCATTCTCCGCGTGGGGCGCTGTGCAACCATGTGTGGCAGCAGTTGGCCGTGACCGTTCGCGGCCTCGAGCAGCGCCATGTGCGGGCATGTGCGGTCGTCCGCTGCGGGGTGTGCGGTCATGTGCAGGGGGGCATGGTTGGCCTGTCGCGAAGCTGTGCGGGCATGTGACCGCGCGGCCACGAACGGTGCCATGTGCGGGCAAGTGCGGCGTCATGTGCAGGGATGCGCGGGCAGCGCCAGGGCAAGCAACTGCGGTGTGGGTGGGCACCTACTGTATCGCCCGGTGTATGTAACGTGCCCATACAAGCTGCACAAATGGTACCCGCGCACACCACGAACATGCGCGTACAGTCCCAGGCAACGGTCAAGGACGGCGGCCACACCAGAACAATGGTGGAAATTCTCAGAGCACATGCCCCTGCACATGGCCGCCCAGATGCACACGTAACCCGATCATAACGATCCGATATCAAAAACATTCACACATGCGGCGCACATGCCGCGCACATGCCCGCACAACGAGCGCAGAGCCAAAATCGCCCGCACGTGCCCCAGGATGACAGTAAAATCTCAAGCCTGTGCAGTGGGAGTGCCAAGATACCTGTCTTAGGATATGGGGAGCACTCCACCCGTCTGAGACATCCCTACACCCATGGCGTCCCCCCTGTGGGGTGCCCCTGTGCCACGCCCACTATATCGCATTGGGCATTGGAACACCAAAAAACATGGCAGTCTGAGGGGGGGGGCCAAACGAGCAATCGGCCGGAGGCATTTCCACGTTCGGGGCGCGAATCCTGAAGTGGCCCCACCCCTGGCAGCTCCTCCTTGGAAGTGCTGAAACCAACGCTGGGCTCGAGCACGGGGCCCCGTGCTCTGTATGAGCGAGTCATAGTGCGAGTGAGTCTGAGTACGACTGTGTGCGAAAATGTTTGAGCGAGTCTGAGTGTGAGTGAGTCTGAGTATGGGCGAGTGAGGAAGAGGAGGGATGAGGTTGAATGCGGGTATGAATGAATCTGAGTGTGAGTCTGAGTGTGAGTATGAATGAGTGAGACTGAGTGTGATCACGAAGTCTGAGTGACGAGAAGAAGGAGGGAGGATTATTATCCTAAGGAGTTGGAGGCGTCAGGCGGCAGGTCACTCCTGTCCGTGCGACCTAAGGGCACCGGATCATAGTATTGGTGCTCGCTGGAGCCCTAAACGCTGAAACCACATCCCAAGATCTGGGGAACACAAATCTTCGAACATCGACGTCCGAGTTGCGCTGGAAAGACGGAGGCCCCTCCAGGCCGATCCTAGCAGTACCTACCGGCGGTCGGGAATGGGCTGACTCGGGTCAGCGCCGACCAAGGTCCGCCAAGGCCACGTCGCAAACCTGAGCCGGCCACTAAATAGCTCCCAAAACTGGGTCAGCAGAAGGGCGGCGATGGCGGGGTCGGCTTCACGTGGCTCCCCAGACCCGGGCTGGCCAGATGGGATTGGCTGACCCCTGCTGGTGACGACCCCCGTCACCTGCACTCCGACAGACCATCCAATGCATTTTCTAAACACTGGGTCTTCGAAAGTCCTGACTCTGGGATTCTTTCCCCAGGGCCGGTGTTTCATCCCGAGTCGGTGTTGAGGGGTCCCGGGGGCCTGGTGAGGACCCCCGGACGCTGAAAACGGCGAGAAACCACTGCATTGACTGTTTCAATGTGTGGGAGGTCTGGATCCGCGCCGCTCGGGCCGACCGCCTCACCCCCCCCTCGCTGCCATGAAGACGCCTTAATGTCGTATACATCTCGCCAGAGTTTGCTCAAAATCGGTCCCCGGGGGCCGCCTCGGTCAATTTCCGGGACCGGTTCCGGCCGCGGCGACGCGGACTTTCAGTAGCGAGCGAAAGCCTCCTGGGCGACGCTGACTACGGTGGCCGCGACGGCGACAGAGGGGGGACGGCACCGGGAATTGCTCGCGCATGACCAGGCCCCACCGCTCCTGGAGCCGCGCCGCCTGCTGCCGGTCCAGCTCGACGGCCTGCTGGCTCGCAGGTGGGCGCCACCCAGAAAGAGGCTCCCAACCTCGGCGTCGTCGTGGTTATCCTCCACCTCCTCCTCCTGTTACTACTCCCATTCTGAGCCGTTGGAAGAGAAGAAGATGGAGGAAGCAAAGGATCGAAAGCCTCGTCTTGGTTCGTCGTCGTCGTCCTCCTCCTACGTTTTCTGTATCCCTCCTCACCCTCGCGTTGAGGGGCTCATCCTTCATCGTCCCTCGTCATCCTCGAATGTGAAGAAAGATCCTCGTCATCCTTCTTCACATTCTCCTTCATTGTTTTCTCACCTTCCGCTCGCCGCCTCCTCCCTCCATCCACCACAGCTTCTCTCCTCATCCTCCGGCTCCTCCTCCTGACCTTCGAAGTTTTCAGGCATGGGGAGCGGAGGGCGATGATGGGGAAGAGGCGATCGGGGGGGTCCACGAGGAACCATTGGGGTGATCGAGCTGGATGGTTGGCGCCTCTCCCCTGGCGGTTGGCGCACCAAAACCACGTCCGCCACCGCCATGGAAAGATTTGCCAAAACTCCCTCGCTGGCTTGGGCGGGAGGGCACACGCAATGCCGAGCAGCGTCACAGGAGGAGGAGGAGGAGGAAAAGAACGAACGAACGAACGACTCAACAGAGGTGCGCCAGCACGGGTCAATGCCCCACAACCGACAACAGAGCGGAGTAATACCCCTCGGAATTACTGGCAATCACATCTAGAGTGCGCCATGATCCTATCAACAGACAGAACCACGCGTGGCCTCGTGGCACGGTGCTCCCACCCACCCCCTTCCACGGCTGGATTGCAACGTTTTGAAGACGGCAAGCCGAAGGAGCAGGGGCAAAAAAAGGGTGAGCTAAAAGTCAAGCCTACGCAGGCCTCCGACTCACGCGATGGCCCCACGAGAGAGGGGGCCACCACGCGAGAGGAAGGGGGGACGACCCGAAATCGGGCACGAAAGCTCCCCAGAAAAGGAGGAGGAGGAGGAGGATGAGGAGGAGGAGGAGGGGGCGGAGGAGGAATGCAGGAGTGCAGATGAGCGCCACACCCACGGAGGCTAATCAGAGGAGGAGCCCTCGGCCCCCACCCCTTCCCGGGGGGGATGCCCACCTTGGGGGCCTCCTCGAAACATACTTCAGGCAAGGAGGAATACCCAAGGTACTCATCCAATTCAACGGGGCCGTGCACACCAGCCCTCTGAGGACTGACCTCGGAGGCGAGGGCCACCGCCTGTGCGCTCGTGATAGCAGCAGGAGGCCCTCTGTAGGATGGGAAGAGGCCCCTATAAATCCGAGAAGGTCTCGGTTCTCCCTGCCCTTAGCAAAGGGCTTCTGGCAGGGAGCAACCAGCCCGTCTGGGTCGACAGTGGCAGTGCAACCGCAAACAGAGCAGAACCTCATGCCATACTTCTGCCATTCGTGCAAAGAGTGGTTGTCATGCAGCCTTTGGCCTCCAACCTTGATCTCGCCCGCCAGACGCGAGAATCCAACATCCGTGAACCGCCCAGCAGACTGGGCCAGGCCAGGAGCCCGCACCGAGGGCACGCCACCGTGGGCAGCCGACGCGGCACCGCACGGCGCACCGAAAATCGGGGCCGCACCAGGCGCCCCACCAGAGGCAGGCGCCGAACCAATGAGAGGAACCGCGCCCGCCGCGGCGACAGGGGGGGACCAAAGACACGGCACCGCACGGCGAACCAGCAAACACCGCCAGGTCGGCTGAATTCACAAGCTCAAGGCAGCCTGCACAAAAGAACTTACCCTGGCTCAGCTTTTGTAACCGATGGGAGGTGCTGGCTAACGCGGCAGACAGCTTGGACAAAGGCTTGACTCGGACCTTGGCTGGGCGATCCGCATTCCAAGGGGCTCCGACTAAGGTATCTATCGTCGCTCGCCTCGAACGCCGATGGATCAAGGAATCTGCGGCACCGGCAGAGCAACGGCCATGTCCCACCCCCGCTTCGCCACCCACCCCGCCCAGACGTCAGCAACAGCGCTGCTCTGATACAGGGAGCAATTAAACGGGGACGAGATGCGCTCTGGCTCCTCTTCGAGATGGGATGGGGCCCAGAGCACCTCCACCAAGCCAGGCCCGCGACGATCAACCGCCAGGCGGATTCTGACCCACAAATCGGAATTGCGCACCGCGGGAACCGCCAAGGACGGCCCGCTTCCCAGCCGTTCACAACAGGCTTGCAATCACACGCGTAAGCCAAGAGGTCCTGGGTGCGTTCGAGGGCCAGGGCGAGGGCGAGCAGCTCAGCCCTGGGGACAATCTGAACAGCTCCAGAAAGGGGGGCAGCGAGTCCGCTCCGCGGCAGCCGCGCTTCGGTCGGGGGGGAACCGCGTCGTCAGAAACGCGCTCCAGACACACCACGGCCGATCCACAGCGGCGCCTACCACGGTCACACGCGCATTCCCCCCCCGACCCGCCCCAAAAAACATAGAGAGGGTGCTCTCCCAGAAGCGACGAGAGGTCCAGCAAGGGCACGTCGCCCCAGGGGATGGGGTCGGAGAACCCAGGATGCCTCGCAAACCGCGGCGCAGTCAGCGAGGACGCAGGGCCCCCTCGAAGCCAATGGGCAAGGCCGGAGTCGGCGCCCGCAAGGGCTGCAGCGATTAAAGAATCAGTGGGACTGAAATCATCGTGGCAACTGTTTTTGGGGCACTCCCAGACACGGTGCATCAACGTTTCGCGCCGCTGTTGGCAGCGAGGGCAAAGCGGGCTCACGACGTAGCGCGCCTCCAACTTGCAGTCCTGAGGCCACTGTCCACCCGAGAGCACCGCCAACGTCGCTCCCCACAAGTCCATGGAGCCCTTCTTCACGAAGGAATTCAACTCAGCCTGTGCCAGCTGCAGATCGGCACCACCAGTGAGGGTCTCGCCGCGGGGGTGGGCAGCAGCCTTGCGCCATCCAAGCCGAGCAACGTCAGCGGAGAAAGCGGCGAGCAACTCATCAAAGTCGCCCAAGACAGCGCCCTTGGAGGCGTCGTCGCCGACGGTTGGAAAAAGACCAATACTCCGCGCCAGCAAAGCCGTGACGCCTCCAAGTAATAACCGGGAACGCTTCCCAACCCGCTTGGGCAAGAGTAGCCTGCAGAGCTGCGCGGGGGCCTCGCGCGCCGCGCCAGGGGATATTGTCGCCCAGCTTGGCGCGGACAACAGACCAGACGCGCTTCGATGCGGGGGCGAAGAGCAGGTTGCGCAAGCCATAGCCTGAACCATTCAGTAATCAGAGCTCGCCGCAGTCGCACCCCAGGGTCGTCGACGCCGAGGGTCGCTTGCAGCGCCGTCTGTAGGCAGCGCCCACGCTTGTGCCCGACAATGGCAACAGCCGCCTGGCGGCGCAAGCTCAGCACCGCGGTCGGAGGGACCCCCGTCACTTGGCGTCCGAAGGTGGCCGCAGGGTAGGACCCCGTCCGCCACAGGTCTTGCGCTACCTTGTGGCTCCCATGCAGTCGACGCAGTTTGTGGATCCGGTTGGGGCGCAGCTTGGCCCTCTCGCGCCGCGTGCGGGACTTCTTCTGGCTTCGCCCCTTAGCACCTGCAACATCCACACCAAGATCCACCGCTGAGCAAGTTCGTTTGACGCGGTGAGCGAGGGGGTCCGCTCCTTCCCGGCGCCGGGAAAGCTCGCGACCAGTCTTGTCTTTCTGCTGGAAGGAGGTGGCCAGAGATCTGGCGGCAAATTGCATATCCCCGACAACCGTCATCTCGACACCTTCATTACGGCAGACCGTGTCATCAATAAATGTCCAGGGCCCCGTGGTCGGGGACACATCGTGAGCCTTCTGCAGAATCCCATGCGGGAGAACTTTAGCCATGTCCACACCTCGAGGCGACCCAGCAACGACCGACTTGCCCGCCTGGAAGGCCAGGCTGAGATTGCGACCTTTCTTGAGCATCCTGGGAGAAGCGTGCATGGTGACCTCCATCCATGTGACGATCGCAGGGTAGCCCAGGGAGCGGCTCGCCTGCATGAAGAGGACGAAACTGATCGAGTCGTAGAACTTCTGCGGGCGAACAATAACGTAACATGATGGATGCAGAGCTCGCCGGCGCACTCATCCGTAACGGCTTGCGCCGACGCAGCACGTAGTGCCGAATTCCCAGCGATCGCCGTATCCCAGAATGCACATTGCTTCCCCGACCATGCAGTGGAGGGTGCAGCGCGAGCGCGGCTCCACAGCTTAAAGGGCAGGGGCAACAAGCCCAAGACGCGGCAACCACCCGCCTCCTTGGGGATGGCGGCCATCACAGCCGTGGAGATGGTGGTCGGCCAAGCACCTCCACGCTCGGCCTCGTTGAGAATATCCACCAGCTGTCGCCGCGCAAAATCAGGAACGCGCTGCACATCGCGAGGGTCCAGTGCACCAATGCCTGGCGCTTTGCCAGGGGCCATGAGCTTGAGTGCGCAACCCACTTGATCCAGGGTGATAGATGGCAGTGCTTGGGCGTGAGCATCTGCCAGGAGCTGACCACGCCAGTAATGAAGATCGGCCGAGTTGTCAACTCGCTCTGTCCATCCAAATCTCGTCCCACTGCTCCCGATATAGCTTCAACGTGCCCTGAGGATCGCTGGCGGCGCGGTCTTGGGAGTCCTGCAGCTCCTCCCCTGGGCCAGCCTGTGGCTTGACATGGGCAGGGGCCAGCCGTGGTTTCTGTTTCCACTGCTTCTTGATCCAAGCCATGAAGTTGGACCTGGAGGCCATGAGGGCGCGACCCTGAGCCAAGCCAGCACAGTTGCACGAAGAATCCACGAACAGCTGGAATTCATCATCATCATCAAGGTGTTGCAGGGCTCCAGCATCCTGCACCCAACCCTGAGCAAGTTCCACTGTAATACGCCTGCCAAAATAGGATTCCGTCTGGCCCGTGTCCAAGGTAGTGACGTGCTTGCCACGGCGCTGGATGCATTGGTCAAGTTGGGCTGGGCCCTTGCCGCAAGGCAGGGGGGCAGCATATCGAGAGATCAGCGTGGTTACAATGCCCAATCTTTCAGCACATTCATTACGCATACGGGTCCTGCCTGGAGCTGGCTGAAGCCTGCGGAACCGAGTGACGAAACCCGCTGCACGGCCGATGTGGGTCTTCCATTCAGACGCAAGCTTCTTCTCAGCTCGCAGGATGGCACCTTCCATGGTGCTAACCCGAATGTCGTAGTCGTCAACGATGCGCCCAAGCTTCCGAGGCCCACTCGAAGATGTGGAAAAAACTTGCAATCGTAGGCAGGCTTAGATTCAGCGGGCCGAGCTCGATGAGCACGCTCTCTGGCCAGAGAGGCCGCTGCAGCGCGCCGGACAGCATCTGCGCGTAGGTCAAGCCCGCTGGCTACGCCCTCGTGCAGGCAGCCGCTGTCCGCAGGCGCGGGCTCAGCCTCAAGCTCGCTGGCCTGCGTGCGTGCTGCGTCCCAGGTGGGGCGCCGATCTGCCATTCCCTGCAAAACACCTGCGAGGGGCAACGGCGGGGTGTTAGGCGCGATGCCCCAAGCAGGCCTAAAGCAAATACCAACAACTGGACCTGGCAAGGGCTGAGCGGTAGGAGGCTCGATAAGTCCTTCCTCAGCGCCCAGCAGAGCGAGCGAATCGAAATTGAATTTGTCGACCATGGTCGACCCGCCGACGGAAGGCCGCAGATCACGAGTATCCAGCCCACCTCGCTGAGGCCCGCCTCCGCAGCAGACCTGTGGCCCCGGCTCCCCCGCGTCCTCCTCCAAATCGGACGCGGTCATGCCAGGCCTGCCTCTCGCGCTCGCCGCCTCCGACGGCGACCCGGCAAGCGCCGCGGCAGCGGCCCAGCGGGCGGCCGGGCGGCGCCAGCAGCGCGCCTGCCAGGCACCGAGCCGAACTCCTCCTCCGCCTCGATCATGGAGCGGCCGTGGCGCGCCACCTGCCCCCCCCCCACTCCTGCTCGTCGGACTGGGAAGGCCTGCGCATAGCGGAGTGATGGTTGGCACGCGCGCGCCGCCTTGCGGCCCGCGCACCCTCGCAGAAGTCCTGCGCCGCCCTGGGTCTGGCCACGCCCAAATTGTCGACGCCTGTCATCCGAACGGCCTCGGAGACAAGCGGCGCCCACGTACCGTGCACCAGTGAGTCGGCCACGGAGGACGCGCACAAGCGCAGCCAGTGCTCTCCATCTCCAGATTCATCAAGCACTGAGACGCCCTGGAGCCAGGACGCGGCGTAGGCCCTCAGCCTCCACTCGAGCGCCATGCGCGCCGACACGGCCGCTCGCCTCACAGGGGCCTCCAGCGACGCCACGACCCGCAGCAACTTCCAGCATCGAGGCGGGCCTGCCCCACTCGCTGTGCACCGCTTGGGTGCGCCTGGGGGCAGGCTCCAGCAAACGACGTGGCGACTGAGCCCAGCCCCTCTCGCTGTCTACCGCGCGGGTGCACCTGGGGGCTGGAACTTGCGTTCTAACAGAAGAAGCCGCAGTGCATGTGGGCCCGCGGGGCAGCCCCCCGACCCCGCGTGCATCTACCGGGGCGCACATGCCAGCACGCGACGCCATAGCTCCAGGTGTAGCCATGGGCGCAGTGCATGCGAGTCCGCGGTGCACTCCCCCGACCCCGCGGGCCTCGTCCAGGGCGCACATACCAGTGCAGGATGCCGCAGCCGAGGGCGTTGCCGTAGGCGAAGTAGGGGGGGGTGCGCGACGGGCCCGCCACGGCCGAAGCTGACTCCAGCCAGATCTCTGCGTCCACCGCGAACGAGGGGAGGGACGTGTGCACCCCCCGCCTCGCCCCCCCTGCAGGAGCTCGTCGACGTGGGCAAAGCCCTCCCGTAGTTCAGGAGAAAGGGCTGCTTCTCGGCGAGCGCGCCCAGCAGCTAGCGCGCGCTGCCTCTTGCTGTTAGGGCCAGGCACCTTGGGATAATCGGGCGTTGAAGGCAGCGGGCTCGGTGCAGCGAGCTGCGCGCACCGCCGTTCTTGGCGGGCCCCCTCCACTTCAATGAGAAGAACGCTGTGTGTATCCCAAAGTACAGCCAGCTCCGCCGAGACCTTCAACGGGGAACAGTCAATGGACGCTACAACATAATCGCACATCCTGCCTTTGCCCTTGTCGCACGTGACCTTGCAGCCGGGCAAGGCAGAGCGCCCTCCCGGTTGGCGCGGCCATCCACTCTCGCGGAACCCCCCTGGCTCGACGTTCCAAACAGCCATGCTTAACCAAGGGTCCGCGAGGGCACGGGTGAAGGGGGAGCCAAGGCGACCGCGATGTCGGCGCTAACGCCTCGGAACTGCAGCCCGGGCTGTAGATGAGCTGCATCATGCGGAGAGTGAGCGGCACAAAAACCCTTGCACGGGTCCACCCGCCCCTCCGATCTCATCGCGCTGCGCATCCTCTGGAAGGACGTGGTGGCGACATGGGGTCGAGGGGGGCATCCGCTCGCCTCCTGGAAAAACAACTTCAGAGCGTCCCGAGGGCCGCGCTGCGGTGGCATGGAGCAGCCGCCCGTCCTTGTGCAAATCCACCTCGACCCTGTCCAAATCGGAGGCGCCTTTGTGGGTCTCGACCAGGCCGACGACCGAGGTCTTGAAGCAATGTTCCGCGATGCGCCGCTGAGCCGTCGGGCCCCACTCGGTGATGTTAGCGAAGTAAATGCTCGTAGAGGTACTCGGCGGCGTCGGTGACGCCGACGCGGTGGGCGGCAGGGCGCCGCCGCTCGCCCGATTAAAAGCAGGGGGGGCAACCGACAGCAGCCGCTGGAGCAGGCTGGGGAGCGGGCGAGCCCGCAGCCGCCGCCATGGTCTTGGCAGCGAGGGCGCCCTCGGCAAGGTGGGCGATGGCCGCCGCCCGCCTCTCCTTGACCTCGGCGGAGAGCTCGACGCCAGGGCCCTTGCCTGCTCCCTTGGCAAGGGGCGGCGCACCTGCAGGCGACTGCGCGGTGCCTTCGGCGTGGCCTGGCGGGGCCTCCTCATCGACCCACTGGGCCTCGCCCTCAGGGCCCTTGCGCTTCTTCTTGGGCGCCGACAAGGCCTTGCGGGCCTGCGTGAGGATGTCCTGGAACTGCTTCTCACGACAGCAGGCCTCCTCTCTGACTGGCGCGAGATGCGACTGGAACTCGCGCAGCTGCACCTGCTCCTCCTCCTCAAACTCGCCAATGTGCTGGAAAAGGTCGGCGTCGACGCCGAAGGGCTCAAGAGGCAGGCGGGAGCGCCGCCCTTTTGGCATTGACGGCCTCCTTGGCGCGGATGCGCTCCTGGTCCGGATCGTAGAGCGCCGCCGCCGCGGACAGCTGGCGTCCCTTCGCCTCCTGGAGGCGCTCCTCCGCCTGGACCAGCTTCTCCGTGGCGTGGTTGAGGGCGTTCTGTTTCTGGGCGCGCTTGGCAGCAGCCTCCCTCTGGAGCACGTAGGGGCACTTCGGCGGGGCCTTGGGCGTGATGGCAAGCGCCTGGGCCTGCACATTGTCGATTAGGCCGGGCGCCGTGGGGTCGTTGGAGAGACCAGCGGCGGCCAAGTACTTCTGGAGAAGGTCTTGGGCTGAATCGCCATGCTGCCCACCTCCTTGACCGCCGCGCTTGCCACCCTTCTGGTTGTCGCCGCTGCCGCCACCGTAGCGGCCGCCGCCAGCGGTGTTCCAGGCGTTTCAGCTCGGGTCGGGGAAAAAAAACAGGTCTCGCCGCAGACGCCGCACTTGCCGTCCTGGCGCTTGAGGCGCCAGTTCCAAGCCCAGTTCCGGCAGCTCTGGTACCAGGTGAAGCCCCGCACGTTGTTCTTATCCTGAAGCTTTTCCCGCCCATGGGAATGTTCAACACAACTCACCGACCGACCTCGCTGGAGGATGGGCTCCAACCTGGGGCGGACCAGGTGAATGGATGTCGGGCGCAAGCACCCTGGCACTGCCGCGGAATACCGGCACCCGTGATTGCCAATGCGGGCTCAGCCCGCCCATAGCAAAATGGCTACGGAGGGGTGAGGAGGAGGAGGAGGAGGTGGAGGAGGGGGGGGAGCAGGAGGTTGGAGGAGGAA